AGATAATTCCTATACACTGTATATGGGTTTATTTTTGAAGGCTATGTTAAAATACAGCAATGTCTTCCAAGATGTTTTATGTGATTCTGAAAAATGATGCTCTTGTATCAAAAGATTGCAAAAGGGCTACATTTGTACCTTCTGTGCTTCAAAGCACCATTTGGGGGGCATGAATCCATAGCACCTTAAAAATTCCATTGATTGTTTTCATTTATATCCTGTCCTTTTCTATAAGAACCCAATATTTCCTGAAGAGGCTTTCCCTTCATTTTATCTCCACTGTTTCAACCCCAAGAAATGCTTTGATTTATTAGAGACAGATTGTAGCTTTATTTTTGAATTTAAAAAATGGACACATTTGTGAGAAGGCATTTAGATACTCTTTTATATATTGGAGAGTGTGATATTTTTACAAACACAGATTCTGAGTCAGGGATACTGTGTAGGGGTAAGCTGAGAAGTTATTTTTGTAAAAATTGCAAAGTAGGCAGTCAAATTCAATCTAGGAAAAAAGAAACATCTTGAATTGAAATTAAGACTGCAATATGTGGATGAAAACAAAACTGGATTCCTCCCCAGTCTCTCCCTCCCCCCCCCATACCATATATAAGATTCCTGCTAAAATAGAACAGCAGAAATGTAGAAAATGCAGAAAGCATTTTGCTGAAACATCAGTTCTAAGAGGAAGGCTAGAGGATGCTTGGTGTCAGTGTTTCCCAATAGAGCTGACTCCAGTTTATCAGTGAGGGCCCTGGACAAAATGCCTTCTTTAATTGGTTCCTAAAATTGTGAGGCCTGTTGGCTTGCCTACCAGCCAGAGTACTAAAAAAAAGAAAACTATCATGAAGTAGCACTGCAGCCTGTCCTGGGAAGCCTGCAGGTGCCATTTTAATTACCTTCCAAAATGGCAGGCTATGGCAATGCTTCAAAGCACTGTGGGAAACTAAACAGTCCTCCCCCAAAGATTCATCGAGGGAGAGTAATTAAAGTGGTGACTTAAAGTTATTTGGGGCAAAGGAAGCGCTAGCTGATTTATTATTATAAATAAATAAAACTATTTTTCAGGGTTCTAGGAATTGTTACCTTTACACTGTTGGGGTTTGAAGTGTTCTGCAACATTAGAATGTTCCTGAAAGTATGGGAATAATGATCTCATCAATAATTAGTGAGGCAGGATTTATGAGTACAAGAAGTTATTTATTTGAGGGAACACATTATAGTATAGGCAAAGTCTAGAGCCTAGGTAACTATATCCTATCAGCAGGAAAATCCAAGACCGTATATTCCATTTGCTTAGGAAGTAAAGTAAAAAGAAGTAACTATGGATTAGTAATCTGCTAGACAAAGAACAGACAGCGATAAAAGGAACATGTTTTTGCTACTGCCCTTTTGTATTTAGAAGGATACGCCTCCATCATATCCAAGGTTTCCCTAGATCAGGGCTTTTCAACCAGTGGTACAGGTACCACCTGTGATACATTGGCACCTGGCAGGTGGTACACGACCATCCTAGAAAGTGATAGCAGGGGAGGGGAATGAGCTGAACCGATGGCAGCACTGCACAAGCCTGAGCGAGAGACGGCTGGAGCTGCAGGGCTGTCAGGGCTCAGCGGAAGCGCCAGGATCAGTGCCGCATTCCAGCTGATCGGTGCTTCTTCAGGGCTGTCAGGGCTTAGTGGAAGCGCCAGGATCAGCACCAAGCTCCAGTTGGACTCAGCACTGATCTTGGTGCTTCTGCTGAGCCCTGAAGAAGCACCAATCAGCTGGAATGTTGCAGCATCTCCAGGGTTTTGTGATTTACATTCAGATGTTTGTCAACTGATTCATATTTATGATGGTCACAGTGTCCCAGGGTCATGTGAAGTGACCAAAACCTGTTGCAACCACCCAGCTGACGAGGGAAATAAAAACCAAACACCCTCCACCCCCGCTGCCAATCCCCAACAGAAATGCTCACAACAATCAAAACCTTGGACAGAAGGAAGAGCGCCGCCGGGTGGGCAGGCAGATGTCTTGCTCGGCTGTGGTTTGGGGGGTGGTTTTTTCAGTGCCATTGTAACTTCGAACAGTCACTAAGGGAACTGTTGTAAGTCAAGGACTACCTGTACTTTATCACTTTCTTCCTTTTTGGGGGGGGGGTCATCAAGTTTTTGACACCTTGCTAGGCGACTGGTGGTACTCGGATGTTGCCATATCCTAAAAGTGGTACAATGGGTGAAAAGGTTGAAGAGCCCTGCCCTAGATTATACAATTCAGTTTCCATAAATCCCAGAGAGTAGTTATTTTAAGTTCATAGCAAGGCACAGAACATTCTAAACGTATATGTAATTGAGGGAGATATGTAACAAATGCTAATTATTGAGCTTTTCAGCTTATTCTGATATACAGAGCAGCACAAGAGTCCAAATACACCAGATGAAGGTATGGTTGAACAGAAAAAAGGGCAATTGCAGGCAGAAAGCAATCTAAAGGTCAGGTGTCAGTGAATTATACAGGCAATGAGGAAGGGACAAGAAAATGAGGACAAAGTCCTATACACCCCCAACTAAAGACTTTATACCAGAGATTCTAGAGAACCACAGTAAAGTTAGGCAGTACTCATTGAGATAAAGCATGGGTCCTGTTATATCTAAAAGTAAGTTTTTCTATTGCTTTTATCAAGGAAGTGGCTACATAATGGAATATGAGCCTCAAATAAAAAGTTTCAGATGAAGTATATCCAACCTAATACTAATATTAGTAGTTTTTCTTTACTTTTTTAAGAGAAGGACATTTCTCAGCATTTTAAATGATCCATTTTTTAGAGAACAGCAGGCTCCATTTTTAATGACAGGAACAATTTAATTATTAGAGGTTGAGAATTTCCCTCTGTAATTGTAATCCATACTCACTTTAACATTTAAATAATGGGTCACTATTGACAAATGCTGTAGTGAGTTACAGAGGGGAGTGCACATTTCTATGCCTAAAATGCACACTATGTCTTTGCCCGTGCAAATATTATATTGTGTTTCCCTTCTCTCACCTATCCTTTTGCCATGTTTTCTGAAATTCTTGTGCTGCTGGCTAATTTAGGACTTGCAGGATGGATACTAAGGCAGGAAAACGTTAAAGGGAGTACCAGGATTGCAACAAACAGCTTCATGTTTATTTAAATTGTCCCCACCTGCTTACAGCACTAGGGCAATGGGTCGGGACCCCATTTGGAGTCAAACGAGCATTTCACGGGGGTCGCCAAACAATGCAGTCCGCCATTTTTTCCCCTTTTCCTTAGCTGTGCTACTCCCTTTTATTCTATTGGCTTTTGAAAGCCAATAGAATAGATTCTCTTGAATAAAGTCTAATTCTATTGGCTTTCAAAACCCAATAGGAATTGTCCAGGCTGTCTGTGCCCTGCTGAGCCAGCCAAAAGTCCCATTCTGCAAATGGTGCTGCACCAGTTGAGTAGTCCTCAACTTACGACCAGTTGAGTAGTCCTCGACTTATGACCGGTTGGGGGTCGCGGCATTAAAAAGGTTGAGAACCACTGCACTAGGGGATCTTTCCCAATCTCCCACAATGAGCGCAAGTGGTGGGCCTCAGAATTTGACTGATAAAAGGGTTGATTTCACTGGGCAAGTTTTATAATCCTGCAACCTCTTTCTCCCCCTCCCCCTTAGTTGCTTAGTTTAGATCGCTCCCAGCCCTTGGACTGGCACCAGTCTGCGGCATTCCAATAACAGGGCTGTGCAAACAAGTGAAGCCCCATCCATGGGATGCAGGCAGCATGCTAAACCGCAGAAAAATCACATACCTGGTCCCTGGTACCCTAAAGGTTGGGGACCACTGATTTAGACATCAGCAAGAGAAGGTTATATATTAATGAAGATTAAGTGTCTAGTTGATATTGGGCACTTGGTAGAATAAAAGAGGGAACTGGTTACAGGATCTAATTGGGACTGGAACAAAAAAAAAATGTTATTTCACAACTTGAGAGAATAAATAGGAAGAACTAGCTTTTCTAAGCAGCCTCAAAATGCAGGTTAATCACAAGATACCACACCTACGTCTCTTATAAGGATGAGGTTCTAACTGTGAAATTAGAATCAACCTTATGGAAACTGATGAATACTGAAGAACTTTAGCTGAATGGCAGCAGCCTTACTATTTACCTAACCTCACAAGGGCTTCTTAGCTGTGCCTACTGCAGGAATAATTAGATGCAAGGGATTGGGTGAGTATATATTAAATCATGTGAATTGCAACATTCTTTCATTCTTAAGACAAGCACAGATATATACAGTACCAGGCAGAAAAAGGATTAACATTAATACATCTTTACAGTTGGAGATAGAGAAAGAAACCTCTCATATACACTTGGCATCTTCCTCTTCTTAGTGATATTCTGGCTTTGTTGGAATTAACTGCTTAGCAACCACAATCAGCTAACAAATTCTGCAGAAAGATCTGGGAAAGTCGAAGTTATTAGTAATGGAAAGAGAGCAGCTCAAAGAAGCGACCCATTTCCAGATGTCCTTCCCCTACTCCTATTTTTGACACCTAACCCTTTTGGAAATCAGAATTAGAACCTTATCCAGGGCAGTTGAGACACATAATTGTGGCTTTTTTTCTCTTGATAGGAATATTTTACTGAACATTATGCCTGTTTTGGCTGCCTTAGCTAACATGAGTTATGAAAGGAGAATAAGGGCAAGTGTAAAGGTATCTTTCCTTTTCCTTGTTGATGGCTGGGAGAATATTCATTAATGATACAAAACTGAATTGTATTTGCAGAATGTGTGCCGACTGGGAATCGTGAACGTTTGTTCATTACAAAATAATTGCCTCTCTGCAGGTAAAATGGATAAAAGTGGATTGCTCGGAGTATGAAAATAGAATGCCTCATTCCTTTTCAGAGACCTGCCTCAATATACATTATTATGATCTTTTTTTCTCTCTCTCTTACCTTTTGTCCCCCTCTCCCCATCTTTATCTGTTTCTCTTGGAGTCTCTGATGTCAGCAGAGGAATGAAGAACTTCTCCGGGCTGATGAGAAATGGCATTGCAAAGCTGGAGGAAATATTCCTCTCACTGACTGAAGTAGGATGCACGCTAAGGCTTTGACTACTGGTGAAAGATTGAAGCCTAGAGAAAACCTGTCCACTTGGCACAAAAAGATGAGCTGGATAATCTTCACACCTTCCAAAGGGAATTTAGATTCTATGCTGAGTTTAATTGCTGTGGCATGCTGGCAGATTTTCTCCTCCTGATGCACTGCATGGTAAGGCCGGTTCTTTCCTCACACAGAACGCTATTTGTGGTGCACCAATTGTTGTTGTGGTTGTTGTTTCCATTTTAATTCTAAAACATGTGTAAAAATACTCTTCCTTCTATTATTCTTCTGATGGGTATCAGCGCTTAGCATTATCAATCAAATGTTTATTACACTGATTTTTAAGTAGTACCAGTGTGGTGTATTGTAGTAGTTTGAGATTTCAGGTGATGAGTTAGTGACCCTACTGTGCATATATTTATGAGTTGTTCATTGATTTCAATTACGTCTTTAAATGAAAAAATGGACCACATTTTTTTAATTCTCCTGTGAGTCTAGCTTGGTACTTTCCAAATAGTCTTCTGCAGTCTCACTCTCCTGCATAAAATAAATGATATGACCACAAAATGCCATGTGAATAGAAAAATATAGATAAAAAGATAAAAACTGGTCTAAAACTATAATAAAGTTAATTACTATTTAGAAAGCATGATATAAAGAAATGTTTGACTCCGTAGGTGTGGAGAAGGATAAGTTGATTGGATTTTTTAATTCAAGATTGATTAACCACCATCACCTCTCATTTTCTGTATGTGATGTCATGCATACCAATGATTACACAACAAAAGAATCCCAAAGATCCTTTTTCGTGAGGCAACTGGACTTCCTTGTTTTTCTTTGAAAACTTTTTGCTTCTCATCCAAGAAGCTTCTTCAGCTCTTGGATGAGAAGTGAAACATCTTCAAAGAAAAACAAGAAAGTTTACTTGCCTCATGAAAAAAAGCATCTTTGGGATAACTATGACCAGGATGACTGAGAAGCTCCATAGACAATGAAGGAATCACACAGATGCTGTTTTCCAGCAATTTCCACAATTGCAGCTGTAGTTTCTTATAACAGAAATCACCACATAACATCTTCAAAAGTTTCTGGAAAAGCCGTATTTTCACCACATGTTCCTCTGTTTAGTATGGTGCATATTAAAAAAAAGTCACAATGAAGCAAAAGTAACTGTGGCCTGTTCTGTAGGTAAAATATGAATGTTACACTTTTTTCTCACAGCTGAGAAAAGTATAAGATTTTGCTTATCTTGTACTAGAATGTTAAGCAAATCTGCAGAGAGGCTGAATCCCACTGAAGTTAAATAAATTTGTTTGGAGTCAAACTAAAGGTTTCCTTTTGATAAAGAAATATATCTTATGCTGGGGCAGATGACTTTGGGTCTTTGTATATTTTTGAATTAGCAAACATTGGTGACTAGATTAGTCAGATAAAAAGATGGCCAGAATATAACTTTATATAAGAAATGTGTTAAGTGTGAATCATTCTTTAATTAAAAAGTCCTAAGATTTCATATTTGTAAACATATTTCCCTGATAACACTAAAGGACAGATGTTGAGAGGCATTTCATTTCTGCCACTTTTTAAAGGAATTTCAAATTCCATCCTAAGCTTAATTGAGAGGATCCATGTTAGTCAATATAATTGATTGATTGATTGATTGATTGATTATGCACCATCAACTCTGACCAACCACACAGATAGATTTTCTTTTCTATTCTGGTCTTTCAGAAGTGCATTCATCATCACTGTAACAGAGTCCATCCACCTTGTTGTTGAGGGCCTTCTTCCTCTGTTTCTTTCTACTTTTCCCAGTGTTAGAGCCTTTTCAAGAGACTTTGCCTTCAGATAATGTAGGATAAATTAATCCTGGTCATTTGCCTAAAATGGTATTGAATTTCCTGCCTGAGCAGAGGGTTGAACACCTCCAAGATCCCTTACAACTCCATTATTCTGTTCTGTATTATTTACTATTAATGAGGAACTACAATGTAGGCACAAGAGAGAAAGGCACTAAATTAAAACCACAGTCCTCGATGCTCTCTAAGTTTGGTTGTTTTCTCACAGACATTTCATTACCAAACTAGCACAGATGTTATCCAACTGGGTAATGAAACATCTGCAAGACAACAAGCAAGCCCAGAGAGCACCAAAAGGCCCCAAAGGCTCAGTTCTTCTTTTGGTAAGTTGAAACCCTTTGAAAACCCTGAGTTTTACTCTAAGTTGAAACCTTGAAAAGCATGAGAATAAGGTCAGAAAAGACCTTATTTAATTTGGCAAAATTAAATTCTGGATTGTTCAAAGGATGGAAAAAAAAACTGAACAGATGACATTGAATGAGAGATGTGAACATTATAGATTTATATAAGAGACAAATTGGAAAGATATAAAACTTCGGTCAGCAAGTAGAGTCTGGGTTACCACATCACAGTGGTTGTACTTTTGCAAAATAGTCTTTAAAAATGCTACATGGCAGCCTGGTGTGCATAGCATACTAAGACAATGGCTGGATTTCCCACAACACATACAACCACAAGCTCACCCAACTTATATTTTTTCCAGGAAAGACAGTCCTTGTACCAGATTTCATAACAGAACTGTAAAATATTTTTGTTCTAGAAAAGCAGCACTGAGTCCATGCTCAGGACTTCAAAAGGAAGTCAAAAAGTAAAAAAAAAAAATCTTCTACATATTCCTACATACACACATTCCGGCTGCCTTCCTTCCAGCAATGCCCCTTCTCCCCCAGTTTCCACCATACATTATCTTCCCAGCATCACTTGACAGAAGGGAGAAGACTGCCTCCAGACTCCTACCACTTGGTCAGTCTTCACAAACTTGCTCCCCAGAAGAAAATTGCACCCAAGTTCCTTGTAGGAAAAGCAAGCCTTTTAATGAAGGAGAAAAATAGACAGACATCCCTTTCCATAATAAACCCTTCAAAAGGTGCCAAGAAGGGAGAAAAAAGGAACACATGTACGAGCATTTTCCTTGCACATTGAGAGAGCTGGCAAGGACTGGAAAACAAGACAGCTGACACCAGGGATGCAAACAGTGCTCTCAAGTAGGAACAACGATGTTTGTTGTAGTGTCTGTCAATATATTCAGAGCTCAGATGCAAGAAGTTCTGCCAAGAGGTTTTTGTTTTTTTTTTCTCCTTTACAGTCATTTTTGGTTATAAGCACTTGCAGGAGGACTGACTTCAAGCCTGGTATGATTTAATTGCCCCTGCAGCCAATCAGGGTTAGAAGGGAGCCGCGTTCAGTGTCTACCAGGACTGTGGCAATGAGCTCTATAACTGAGAGCCTGGCTTTTCCTATTGCTGTTTCTCTAATTCGTTTCTGGGTAGGCAGGCAGAGCAGGTGGTGTAAGGCAAATGTGTTATTTGCACAGGGTTATCATATGGTATTTATGCAACATGGCTGATCTGCTGAAGGGTTAGCCCAATATAAATTTGTAGGCATTTAAAGTTAAATCTTTCCCTCCCTAATTTCAAAGCCAAATGGTTTAGACATATGTCTGAAATAATCTTACCAATTCACATGTTCCATATGAACATATCAAGTAGGTCAATGCACTAAATGTCCTCCAGAAAAATCTTCTGGCATAATCAGCAAGGAGCAGAACAACTAGGGAAGAGAGCGCAAAGTTCCAGTCCACAACAGAACTCATAAGGATATCACTCTCAGCTCCCTAGTAAACCAAAGTGATGATCTGGCTCTACAAGAAAGAAAGGGGCACTTAAGGCTGATAATATCAAGTATGCAGTCTATTTCAATAATGTCTCATTCAGCTCCACAGTCTTCTGATCACCAACTCCATCTGGTTAAAATACTAAGCTCAGTGTGTGTTCCATTACATGCTGATGCCAGGAACCAGCTGGGGTAGATCTATAATTAATTACTGTAGGCAGGAAATTCTTTGCCAGCTCTGACAAGGCAACCTCGGTGTGTGAACATTGAAATCCCCCAGGCGAAGATGGGTAATTTATACCATGCCTGAGATTAATCTAACTAGCTCAGGAGACAGCTAGACAGCAGAGTGGACAATGGGGATGACTATATACCTTCTCTATCCTAGGAACTTCCTGGACAATAGCATGCACTCAAAATTTTGGGATCTATTAATTAGACGCAGGGGTTCTCAACCTTGGCAACTTTAAGACTTGTGGACTTCAACTCCCAGAATTCCTCAGCCAGCAAAGCTTGCCAAGGTTGAGAACCCCTGGATTAGAGCATCTAGTTAGTGGAATTTCTATGTGCCAGGACTCGCATCCCTCCTTGCCTTCCAGTTCTAAGATTCTGCACCTCAAAGTAGCCCAGCAAAGACAGTTGGGAGAAATAAACTCTGTCACCTCCTCTTCCCCTAGTCAGATATCTCTGATACACACCAGGATAGAATTCTCATCCAGGATGAAGTCTGAAATAAAAGATAGCAATAGTAATAACAATTAGAATTATTTATCACTACACAGTGCTTTACAGCCCTCTCTAAACAGTTTACAGAGTCAGCATATCCACACACACCCCCAACAATCTGAATCCTCATTTTACTGACCTTGGAAGGATAGAAGGCTGAGTCAACCTTGAGCCAATCAGAATCGAACTGCTAGCAGCTGGCAGAATTAACCTGCAATACTGTATTCTAACCACTGTGTCACCACAGCTCAGTTAATGGTTTATGTTTTATCGGCAGTTGATCTGGCATTGAATAGGTTGGAAAAGCCATTTTGGTTGTCATCTTAACTCCCTCGGTTAGAAAGGAAGTAAGACCAGACAGCTTTCTGTCCTGCTTTCTCTGCAATGACTGGTTGCAGCCTCCTATTGTATCTCCCCCTATCCAGGAAGTTCAACACTCTTTCCCAGTCATTTTTCCATTCCTTGCTGTCCCTTAATTTCTGACATTTCTCTTAATAGCAGGTTACAATAAAAGCAGCAGTCCAATTTCCTCCATCAAAAACTGTACCTATTGTGATATACACAGTGCTTTTTTTGTAAGAAAAAAGGTGCCAGAACACAGCGCCCCCCCCTGTCACCAGGCCTTTCCTTGATCAGCAACCTTTCACTCCCCTCCTGAGCTGGACTGCCATGCTAAGGTCAATGGGATGGGCGAGGTAGACCCGGTCCTCCTCCGCCATTTTGGAGCCAGGGGGGAGTGATGTTGAACAC